AAAAAAAGATCTGCATTCCTAAAGCCCTAGAACATGAACATAATGAAGCCAAGGTCTTTGCTGCCGTATAACAAGAATAATCTTTAGTTTCCAGACTTTGGTTTTCAGTTCCATTTGAGACCTCATCACAATGGCTTTGCTGTCCCTGTTTCCATCAACATGTTGGTCATTACCACTTAAGTAATTTCTAGGAAGTTCCAGACTTTCCCTAGTCTTCTGTTCTTCTGACCCTTTACCTGAATTGTCCTTAATGATCCATTTACAGCAATACAGGCTTTTTATAGACATGTCCTTCAAACTCTTCCAGCCTTTATCTTGCACCTAGGGCCAAAATCAGCTCCACATTTTCAGGTAACAATCCAACAGCCCAACTTCTCAGTACCAATTTTTTATTTTGCACATTTTCTGCTACTATAATCAACTATCAGAGACTGGGTAATTTATAAAGAATAAATGTTCCTTTAGTTCATGTTTCTAAATGCTAGAAGTCCGAGGTAATGAGCTGACATCTAGTGAGACCTTATAACATGGCGAGGGGGCAACACATAGTAAAAAGGTAAGCTAGCACATGCAATAGAGACTACAAGAGCAAGCTGAGCTCATTTTATACCAACCCACTCTCAGTAGAATTAACTCATTCCTATCACAACTCTTGGGTCACTGGAAAAGTCATGACTCATGTTTTGTTGTTCTATGTAAATACGCATCATGACTTTTCTGAAGACCCAATAATTTACGCCCATTAATCCATTAATCTATCACTTCACTAACCCATAAGTAGGTAAATCCTTTCTACAAGGACAGAGCCTTCATGATCTAATCACCCTTAAAGGTCCCATCTTGTCCCACCTCTTAATACCATTGAATTAGGGATCAAGTTACCAACATATGAAATTTTGGGAGATACATTCAAACCAAAGCAGTCTCCTTTTGCTATCAGAAACTGAAAGGGTAATCCTTGAATTGTTCTCTCACTGGGACCAGAGTCATTCCCTCCAGCAATGGTGTTGAAATGTAGCAACAGGAAATTATAAAGGGGCCTGACACCACCACAAACTACTGCTCTGCAATAGTTCAGGGTAGCACTGATCTTCAAAGCAGGATGCTCAGGGCGTTTAGAAAGCCAAATTTGCCCAATGCTATTTCAAACCGCCAAAACATTGATCAATCTGTCCTGTGGGCCTTTATAAAATTACTAGCAAAAGGGGTGAGGGTAAAAATACACACATACAAATGTTTGTACTTGGGGTTATGTGGAAGGATTATTAAAGACAGACATTTACCAAGCATTGTCAAAATAAACATTTTTTCAGCAGCTGAAAACCAAAAGAGAGAGAAAAAAAATGCTTAAAACTCTTATAAGTTTGGCTTCTTCGGCTGATTGGTCACAAAACTGGTCTACAGTTTTGAGGTGATGAGTCAGCATTGACTGAGAAAACCACACAACTGGTTAGAATTTGCTTCGGCAAAGTTCAAAATTCTTACAAAATAACTGAACTGTTAGGAACTGAACTGTATAAACTTCAGTTTCAGGAGAAAGTCAGTGTAGGCCAGTCACATAATTAAACTTTGAAACTCTCCAAGAGTCATGTCCATTTTTTTTTTCTTTCTGTATAATAGCTGAATATTCATTTATCAGTTACTTGGGAAACACAGGATGTCTGGTCTTAGAGATGACAAATACGTGTTTGCTCACACTATTTTTTTTCTTTTTAGAGAGATTTTTGCCATAGGGCACATGTGCTCACCAGAGAGACAGAAAGTGAGAAATCACTCACCCACACAGTCCTCCAGAGAGGATGGCCACTCTGCAATGCCTTCTCCTCCATTCTCCTCTCGGGATTTTGGGTACACATGCACACATGCCCAGCATGGGTTTTAAGCTGCCAGGTCCAGGACTTGAACCAGAGTCAACTACATGCAAGTCTAGGGACATAGTCAGTGTGCCATTTGCTGGTCCCTTGCTCACGCTATTATAAATTGCTTTGGCAGGACTTGAGAGTACACACCACAACCACACTATTTTTGTTTTGAGAGGAGAATGCCCTGACAGGGATCAAGCCATTCTCACATCTACTCTATCTCAAAAGTTAATCTGACTCTATATCAGAGGTAATAAGATACACCTCTCCATCTTCAGATCCTACCAATCCTTTTAAGAAAAATCAAGTTCTGAGCAACTCTCAAACCAATGGGACCTACCCACAGCAACAGTCCATCCCACGTCTTCTAGATCAACTATACTTCCAGTATTCTGGTCCCTACCAGCACCATTTTTGATAACCAGACTCACTTTGGAGGCAAATAAGGCTAGAACTCTAAAAGACTCATATCACGACATTTATTTGCCTATAAGGGTTCCCAAGATCTTCAAGAAAGAAGCAAAGCAAGTAAGGATACTTTGCTCAATAGACTCATAGTACCAATGAGTTTATTATTTGTTTTTATTTCTCTGTCAATAATTCTGGACAGTTGAGATGTGGTGTTTAGGAATGTCCTTTTTTTCACTTTAACATTATATATATGTTTATATGTTTGTGTGTATGTATGTATATACATAAATATTTTTCACTTTAACATTATATATATATGTGTGTGTGTGTGTATAAATTTGACTCAAATTCTACAAAAATCTAGAAATTACTGGGTGCGCTTTTCTTTTTTTTTAGAGAGGTTTTTTTGCTATAGGGCACGTGTGCTCACCAGACAGACAGAGAGAGACAGAGAGACAGAAAGTGAGAAATCCCCCCCCCCCCGGGAGGATGGCCACGCCACAATCCCTTTTCTTCCATTCTCCTCTTGGGATCTTGGGCACGCACACACATGCACCTGGCGGGGGTTTTAAACCACCAGGTCCAGGACGCGAACCGCAGTCGACCACACGGGAGTCCAGCGACATAGCCATTACACTAACTGCTGGTCCCCTAGGTGCTATTTTCTATTGCTATTTTTCTATTTCTTAAAACTGAATTATTTGGATTGAAATACATGTACGTGTATGAATATATAGTAACTCATTTCTCTTAAAATGGTATCCAGATAATAACTGTGGTTTTATTCACATAATAGTTTAAGTAAAGTGGTTAAGTGGTATCTCTGTGAGAAATTAACTCATGGAGATTTTACTGCCACTTCATTGCAGCTCCTCATGGGCAGTTATTTCTCACTTACAAATAAGAAGACTAAGACCCTGAGAGATTAAGTGAGCTGCCTAATGTCAAAAGATTAAGCAGTCAGAACAGGACTTACAATCTATGGTCTTTTCAACATGATACATGCACGGAGATGTTTGTTATGGCAGTACTGATAACACCATAAGAACAGAAATGCTAGTTGGCAATAAGAAAATTAATAAAAGAATACGTCAGCTTAATGGGATATCGTGTTGTCATTAAAATTATGACTTGAGGATCAGCAGATGACATGGCAGTTAAGGTGGCAGTTAAACAGCTCAGCCTGCACTGTTTGAGTCCTGGACCTGGTGGCTTGAAAACACACTGGACCTATGTGCATGTGTGCCCAAAATCCCAAGAGGAGACTGGAGGAAAAGGGATTGTGGTGTGACCATCCTCCCTGGGAGGTGATTTCTCACTTTCCTCTTCTCTCACTCTCTCTGGCAAGTGCACACATCCTATAGCAAATGTAAAATAATAATATCATTTTAAATAATAATGAGGGGTCAGCAAGTGGCATGGTGGTTAGGGTACTGGATTTTCACATGGCTGACCACAGTTCAAATCCCAAAGCAGGCAGCTTACTTTCTCACTTTCTCTGTGTCTCTCTCTGTCTCTCTCTGGTAAGTATGCATGCCCTATAGAAAATTTAAAAATAATAATAATAGGGGGTCGCCAGGTGGTGTGGTGGTTAAGGGCACTGGACTATCACATGGCCGACTGTGGCTGGAGTGCCAGATTTGGCAGCTTGCTTTTTCACTTTCTTTCTCTCTCTCTCTCTCTCTCTCTCTCTCTCTCAGGCTGTCCTTCTCTGGACAAATTAGAATAAATAAATTAATTAATTAATTAAATAAAATAAGATCTTCTTTAAAAAATAATAATAGGTAAAAATAAAATAATTATTTTTAAAATAACAATAATGAGGAGGGGACTGGTAGCTACCACTTATTGAATATTTACTTTGTCACAGAAATAGTAACAGTCCAGGACCAGCAGTTAGCGTAATGGGTATGTCGCTGGACTCCCACGTAGTCGACAGCGGTTTGAGTCCTGGACTCGGTGGCTTAAACTCACGCCGGGCGTGTGTGCGTGTGTGCGTGTGTGCTCAAGATCCCTAGAGGAGAATGGAGGAGAAGGGTTTGCAGCATGGCCATCCCCCCTGGGAGGTGATTTCTCTCTTTCTGGAGAGCGCACGTGCCCTATAGCAAAAATTTCTCCAAAAAAAAAGAAAAAAAAAAGAAACACAATGTATATGCCTGGTAAACAAGGCCTTCGAAATGGCCACAGGTCGGTGGTCTCAAGAGATACTTTATTTGAAATGAAATGTGTTTTGAAAATATAAAAAATAAATCACATCTATCCAAAATCATTTAAGAGACATATTTCCACAAATTCTGACTACTCTATGAGGTTGATGAATGCGATGGTTTATAAAGCATTTGATACACAGTGATCATTGCTTTCCAGAAACTGGAGTTTACATATTCTGAAGCTTTAAGCAGAAAGCTGACCTTGGAATGTAACAGTTTTATCTTTCTTCTCAACATACAGTGACCTGCAAGGACTACCTACTGCTAAAATCTACTACCCCAGTAGCAGAGAACTGGGGAGCAGGTCTCACCAGAAAGTTATACAAGGAAGTCTACCGTCTTTCTGTTTCCTTCATTGGACAATAGGCCCTTTCTAAAAAAAAACCCTGTTGAATCCTGTACTCCATTTGGCAAATGTCCCCCGAACCAGTTGCAGATCACTTTGTCACCCAATCTTCTGTAAGTCTAAATTGATTGTTCACTATTGCCAAGTAAAAAGCCACCCTTCAAAACTGCGTCAAGAATTTAGACCATAGAGCTGACCCTGTGTCACAGTCGCGTTGTGCCGCTCAAGAGAAGCAGGATCTCGCAAGGTAGCCCCAATGCGAATCCTATCCTTGGTCTGATTAACCTGAGACATGTTGGCCACACTCACTCGTCCAATGGATTTCCACAATTAATACATCTTAGGTTACTTTTGGCAAGTAGGTATAATTGCTCTTGAAAGAATCAGGTAATTTTCACATTTTAAACTCATTCCACTGAGGGTCTTTTGTTGGTAAAGCCAAAACCATTAGTTTGACATTAACAAAAAAAGAAAAAACACTAAATCTCTGTCCTCTTCCCACAATGTTCTATGTTCTCTGGGATTGCTTCGGTCTCCCTCAAGTCTTAGCCCCTCCCTTTTTTTAATCGCTAGAGAGCATGTGCACTCTCCAGAGAGAAAGAGACAGAGAATGCAAACCCCCTCTCCCAAGGCCATGATTTCTTTGCCTCCATTTCTCCATCCTGTTGGAATTTGGGGCATCACACACTCATCTGGTGTGTCCCTCAAGCCAGTGGTTGGCTATGTGGGATCTGGTTTCTTTAACTACTAGGCCATAGGCCTTAGACCCTCTTCAAAGCCTACACTGAACATAATATTGTTAATACCTGGAGACAAGCTAAAAGCACATCACTTTTTCTGGGGACTAAAGACATATCATGTGTTTGAACTCATGTACCAGCAGAAAACCTGTTTCTACCAGATTTAAATTTAGGGCTCTGTAAGAGAAATACAGAGTGTTTGATACATGAGAACCAAAAAATAGTTAAAACAGGCCTTTACATTTAAGCCAGACTTTCTAATAGAGTTTACAGGTGAGGGAAACTCCGTGAAGCAATGTGTAGATTTTTTTTTTCCGCCCACCATTGGAAAAAATGTGGATTTAAATTATAAAGCTGCCTTGATTTCTGCACTATTTGAGAATCCCAGCTTGTTCAATAAGGAAAATGTTCATTTTGAAAGGGCCCCTTAGAGGTATTTGCTCTCTGACCACAGCACTCCATGTATGCAGATCTAAGTGAATGTCCACTTAGAAAGTATGTTTAAGGAGCTTCGTCCTGGTGTTTAGCCAGTCCCACTATTAGGTGTTCTCAATTGAACGCTACAAGAAGAACTCAGTGAGGCAAGAGAAACCATTTCCTGGATCTGGAGGTCACACATTTTTTTCCTTTTCATTCATTCACTTCAACAAACAGTTATTGAGCTCACTGTGTACAAGGCTTGGTGCCAACACAAGTTCAAGGACAAAAGTTCAGCTCCAGATGAGCCAGTCCTTTTAATTGTCTAATTTTTTACATTATTGTTTATATAAGGAATAGATTTTCTATTAGACCTGCCCTTTTGCTCATCTTCTTGTGTTGAATGAAGTACTTTTTTACTTTGGTCATTTGTATCATTTTCTTACAAGCAGAACACAGTCACTGAGACATTAAATGATGTGCACTTGGATTTTGTTTAATTCTGTTGAGCACGACTGTTGTACTGCTCTGGAAAAATGATTGAACCCTCATAATTTCAAAGTGTCAAAATAATATAAACCATCCTACTTCTCTCCTTTCTAATTTCTGAGATTTCACAGTTAAGTACTAAGAGTTCAGACTACAGAGCCATCAAGAGGGTCAAGTTGGGATCAGCAGATGGTGTCATGGTTATATGGCTGGACTTCCACATAGAGAACTGAGGTTTGAGTCCCAGACCTGGTGGCTCAAAGCTCATGCTGGGAGTGTGTGCATGTGTGCCTGAAATTCCAAGAGGAGAATGGAGGAGAAGGGATTACAACATGGCTATTACCCGAGGGGTGATTTCCCACTTTCTGTCTATGGCTTTCTCATCTCTCTGGTGAGCACACATCCCCAATAGCAAAAATCTCTCTTAAAAAAAAAAAAAGAGGGTCAACTCAATATAAATATTACAAGAGATCAGGAAAGAGCTATAGAAAGACAAGAAACCATGATTGCCCTGGCCCCACGAAAAACCATGACTGACTGGAAAATCCAGGAACCAAGAGGACATGGGCATATTGTTTTTCGACACTGAGATTACTTACTTATTAATATATAGAGATGTCTTTTGCAAGTATTTGGATATTTTTTAGCACAAATATTTAAAAGTAAAATCTTCCATTTGGAAATAGCTATGGTTTCATTGGGGTTGTAACGGTCTACATATTAAAATTACACTACTATGAGACATTCCCTAAAAACTAGAGCAGTAGTTCAAAAGAAGCTGAACCAAACTCAGTTTAAGAAATCTTTAAATCTAGGTCTCTTAATTCTCATTCATTCATATGTATATTCATAATTTAATCTTGCTAGCATATTTTTACAGCTGCGACCTAAATGGGCATGCATGGAAGCAGGAGTCCATGTAAGTTTTATTTTGCATTTGCTTAAGTTTTCATGTTCCCTGTAACTTGTTAGATAAAACTATCATCAAAAATTTTCAACATTTAAATATTACACTAACAAGCAATTTGATCTTTAAGCTCCTTTCTAGATGAAAGGAGAACAGACATCTCAAGCAGGCCATTCTACTTTCATTTCAGGACTACACAACTTAACAATGGTCTAATACTAACCTTTCCTATTTGGATGCTGGAAAAATACTAACCAAGATTATTTTGGAAAAGACCATGGGAAATAGAGACACGACAGTAAAGCCATACAGATAGGAAGTGATTCTCAGTCCCAGGAGGATGTGGTATCATCTATGGCTCTTTTTAAATTTAATACCATCTGCCCTGGTGGACTTTAACCATCCTTTTGATTTAACACAGAAGAGGGTTTGTTCTACCTTTAAAAGCACATCCTCTTTTTCCTCCAATCTTGAATAAGTGGCTCTAAAACAAGACCAGAGTTGTTTTCTTACTGAAAATCTAGTGTTTACCCAGTCCTTCCTTTTCAATTTCTGAGTTTAGCTAACAACAAAACAAACAGCCCTCAAATTCCTCCCAGAGCAATAAAAAGCAAAACAGTTGGCTTCTCTGATCCATATTATTTTCACTATGAAAACTAAAACTTATGACCACTAGTCCTTTGAAATATTGACAAACTGTATTTTAAGCAATGTGATTCTTCAGTGTGCTCCTATAACAAAATATAAGGATCAGAAAATGTGGCTCAAGTCAAGTGAGTGAAGCTCTTAGAAAAGGGTATTCTAGCCTGGACAGAAGATTAAATACTCTCTCAAACAATATGAATGTTCTCTTTCCTCCAATTACTTTTTTTTTTTTTTGCTATAGGACATGACTCGCCAGAAAGAGAGAGACAGAAAGTGAGAAATCATCCCCTGCAGGGATAGCCATGCCGCAATCCCTCCTCCTCCATTCTCTCGGGTCTTGGGCACACATGCACACGTGCTCGGCATGATTTTAAGCCACTGGGTCAGGGACTGGAAACACGGTCGACTATATGGGAATCCAATGACATAGGCATTACGCTAACTGCTGGTCCCCCACACACTACATTTTTGAACTGTAACATACACACTCATATTCAGAAATCAGTATAGGAAGGAGTATTCTCCTCCTTAAACCTTTCACAGAGTGAGGATAAAAGCAAGACTTCTATAGGAAATGCAGCCGTATCATACACTCAAGATATGATCAACTTGCGAAAAGCTGGGTTGTGTTTTAAATATTTTGAAATCATAATTCCTTACTATGAATTTCCTTGTAGAAAAGCAATATTTGAGCATGA